GACTGACACAGATATTTCTTCCCCCCTTTTTTTTATTTTTTCGTTTTCGCTTTCTTTTTAGCACCTTTGAATTTCATAATATGATAGTTTTATTAGGCGTGAGATTATATATAACCGATTTAAATTCAAATAAAAAAGAAAACTGTGATTAAAAATGAAGGCTTCTTCTATCTCTTTTCATGTGGCTATGGTTGAGTAGACAAAGTATTTTTTGATCCCGCAAAGGAAAAAAAAGACCTTTGGTATTTAAATAGCATCTTTATAACTTGTATCTTAAAAATGCTATGATATGACACAAGGATGGCAACAATAACAATATATCTAGTGTGTTCTTATGGGAGGTCTAAGGAGGGTAAAGAGTCTGCTTTCGATAGACCTTCGGCTCTAGAAAAACATTTTCAAAAGAGGTTTGAAACCTATAAAGGGTAAAATGTATTTACAGCAAAAATAATAAAGATAATCAAAGAAAAATAAATAATAGCAATAATAAATATGAAGAATAAAATATTAATAGAATAATAGCAATAATAAAATACTGATATAAAGCACATAAAGTGCTCTAAATTAGAATCATACTCTACCAGAGAAAAATCGTTTGACTATAATTAATCTTTGACCTTCATGCTATCCTATATAGTATCATGTCCTCGTGAGCTGGAGATGTTTTATGTCTTCTCTAATCACTTCTCTCCTATTTTTACACTGTCTACCTCTCTACCTCTTCTTAGGCCTATCGCTACCAACCTCTCGCACCTCCTCACTTGGGCATCCGTGTTCCTCTTCTTCACATGTCCGAATCTTCTCAGCCTCACTTTCTACATCTTATCTACCACGTATGCAACTCTCACCCTGTCTCATATTTCGTTCCTAATCTTATCTCTCCTACTATGCCTACAAAGCATTCTCATTTTCGCTACTTTCATCTTCTGAATTTATGAGTTCTTGACTAGCCAATAATATGCCGCATAAAATATAGTTGGTCTCACAATCACTTTATAGAACTTATCTTTTAACTCTTGGTGGCATATTCTTATCACATAGGATACCCAATTTCATTTTATTCAACCTGCTCTAATACGATGTGTGTCATTATCGTCGATCTTCGTACTTCCTAGGATTATTGACCTAAAGGAAATGAGAGGTTTAAAATAACTTTTGTTATTTATTAATGAAAAGAATTATTGGATACGTGTGTTTGTGAAATATGTAATATGTTTGATATATAATTGAGAAACAGAAAATTAATTTGTACACCACCGTCCAAAAATATTGTGCTTTCAGGCTTTAGCACATGACACAAAGATTTGACCAGGTCGAATTGGATGGGCAAGAATAAGGTGGCCAAAGCCCAAATAATCCCAAAAAGCAAGTGAGGAGGACGCTCTCAGCTGTTGGGGGTGGTGAAGGAGCTGCAAATATTTGGTTGTGGTTAAGAGGGTATGACAATCGGCCGCGTGGATGGTTAAGATGAAATTTTGGGATCCAATTTTAATAATAGTGGTGAGGTCATGGTACAACGACAATTAATTATATTGGAGCAAAGACCTAAAAAATACAGACTAGCTCCCAATAGAATCTGATGCCACCACCTGCCTTTGAATAGCTCAATGGGTATTCAGATTTATCTTACGATGATAATGAGGTTCTTCTTAGATATAAAAATATTCTTGCCTTTTTTTTTTCTTTCTAAAAACTAGTACTACTACTATTTAATAACTTATCTCTAGACTCTAGGAAATACCTCTCTTTTTTTCTCTCACTCTTGGTTTTCCACTGAGTAGGGATTTGATTAGCTGCTGAGTTTGAAATCATTGTTTTAAAATTCAAATACATAAACTTGAAATTCAGTCATAGATTTGATTCGTTCATAAAGTTCGAAAACAAAGGAATATTGGTACTACTATTTTAACTTCCATGTGTAACTCTGGTATGAGATTGAAAAAAGACCCAAATTAAAATCATACGCCTCCCACCGTACTAGCCAGCAATAGCAACAACATATTATTATAATCACACAAATGAGGGTTGGGGAGGGTATAATATACACAGCCTTACTCCTATCCCTGACAGGGGAGAGAAACTGTTTTCGGTAGACCATCGGCTAAAGAAGTTAAAAGAAACCCTGATAGCAAGTAATAGCAAGACAAATAATTAAATTACTAAATCGAAAATAGCAACAGAAAATATGAAAGAGGTACCGATAACAAATAATAGCAAGATAATATATTTAAAAAACTAAATCCAAATCAGCAAACGAGAATATGAACGAAGTACTACCAGCAAAGTACTGACTAAACAATGAAAAAAGTGTCTTACCGAAGCTGGAGAATAAGAGAATAGGCTTTTTCTATATGGAAATTTAATTCGTACAAAGTATCATGATGATGAAAGCTGTAAAACCATTGGAAGTGAAAAAGAAAGCTCAAAAGCCGGGTAGAGTACTCGAGCAAAAGAATCTATAACCCTAATATTCTACGTACATAGATAATTAAATGGATGTATGAGTACTTGTTTATTTGTTTCTCATATGCATGTTCTGAATTAGTATATTTAGCTAAAAGGTATCAAATAAATAACATAAGAACATGTTTTAAAAGAATGTATATTGCTTAGGCCTCACCCCCGATTTCATCAAATGTAATTCTAGCTGTCTTAGAGAAGGTTTACTTTAATTTTTTCTTATGTTTCTGCTGAGCACCATTAAATATACGCATCAGACAATTATATGTTCCTTCTTTTTTAAAAAAAATTCCCACAATTATATTCTTGTTTTGCTTCCATATAGCTTTATGATATCTCGTGATCTGTCGTTGAAAACGTAGGAGTAGAAGTAGTGACAGTAAACCATGTGGTTGGGAAGGAAAAGTATATATGTGGCTATTTTCTACAACAACTAATTGGCTTGGGTTTGTTTCAGATATTATAATAATTGTCCAGTAAAACTTTTTCTTGGTTTTCTTTGGATTAATTATAGCATACAAATATTTACATTAAAAAAGTATTCAGTTTTACTACTACTAGTCTACTAGCTACTACAGCTGTACCCTTGGACAATATTAATGGATTGTATTTAAGGCAACAAGATTGACTAAAGATCAGCGGCGGAGTCAGAATTTTCGGTAAAAGGTTTCATATATAAAATTAAATATATTAGAAAATCAAGAGGAGTTAATACATAATATAAATATATATATAATTTATTTTTTTATCTAGTTAAACAGTGTATTTTTTTTGCAAAGGGGTGTCATCTTATAGGGTGGCTCCGCCACTGCTAAAGACTGTTCCGATAAGTTTCAGCATCTAAAATTAATCGGAAAGTGTTTTCCAGTAGCGTATATATAAGTCTTCCTAACCTTTTTTCGGCAAAAGAATGAAGGGCAAAATAATATATANGAGCTTTAGATTTTGGAAATTGACAGTAATTACACAGATGAACCCTAGGCTATCACTGTCCAGTGATCATTTTCTAAGCTCATTTTTATGAGTTTGAGGCAAGTATATATGTTGCGCCCAGCACTCTTTGGGTATATAGATATAATAACATGATGCTTCCTTTGAGGTATCCACATTACACATGCCATAATTGTAGTCTCTAGAGAAATGAGGAATTGCTTAACAGTTTTACTTCATATATATATATATTATATATATATGACGTTTTCTTCACTTTAATTTGAAACATTGTACATAGTATTTAATATCGTTCTGCTTCTACTATTCTACACAATCACAAACTTTAAAAGATTCTCGTTAAATTTTTTTAATCATAAATTCTGATATGATATTTTTTTGAAAAGCGAGACAATAAAATCCAGAGGAATTGCTGGTAAAAGCCTATAGGATATCTCTTCATATGCAACAACAGGCGTCATCCCTTTGCTCTGTCGCTGCCACNGGTTACATGACTCCTTGAAATCACATGTTTTGTGGAAGTAATTTCGTGTATTAAGCTCAAAATATCGATTATGTAAGGCCTAGACATTTCACAGGTCGAATCATTCAGTATTGGAGCTCAGACAAATATAAGTTTCCAAGTAAGTTGGTGCAAAGAACTAGTGATCAATCAATTAAATTGAATTAAAAGTAATAAGTGCAATGGCGTATACAGGTATCTAGCAACTTTTCAGATACGAGTAAGTAAGCGTTTTTTTCTGGTATGAATGCGTAAGTGTATTTGTCTTGCTACTACGTGTTAACATCCGCCAATCATGAGTTAGCATCTCCATTCAAGATTTTTAAGTTACTTGTTTTAGCAATAGAAGAATTTCATGTTTTTTCTTGAAATTGTGTTGTGGCTAAACAGTAGACGCCCAGTACTTGTCGGGTTGTCGTTTACGAATTATCTAAGATAGGAAATCTAATTTTATATTAGATCAAATCTCGTACCCCAAACCTTTAACAAGCCAATCTTTCGATGGCATGTATGGTCCCTCCAGTCCGCAATAAACAACTCGTTTCCTTCAATCATTCACCGATCGACAGCCAATCAAAATATCTAAGGAAATTC